CTCCAACCACATACTCCCCACCCCTTCCTTGTCCGCCCCATCAACCAAATACCCCTTCACCAGCCCGTCCGCCTCTCTATCGCCCTCCGCATCCCGACCCTTCTCCCGCAACATTCGTTTCAAATACTCCCCCGCAATCTCCACTTCCCCACATTTTAAAGCCGCCCCTGCCAGCGCTCGTTCCGCCGCGCCAATGTCTTTCCCGCTCTTCCCCGCTCTTCTTCGTTCCTCTCTCCATTTCTTCAACATCCTCTTCAACCCAAACACGCCCACTTTGCTGGACAGGCTATGTTCACACGTCACTGCACCGAGCGCCACCGCAGTCGATGCCAAAAGCTCGCGTCTCCCGCTGTTACCTGCGCATTCTGCGATCGGCAGGCACTCCATCGCCAAATACGTTATCCTTGCCAGCAATTCCCCCGCACCCGCCCCACTCATCTTCATCAGCAACCCACCAGCAGACCCAACTCCTCTTGGACTCGTTCTCCTCCCCGACCCTCTTTTCTGTTGATAATAAAACCTCCTTCCTTTCCTGACCCCAACTACCGCCATCTCTTCTTGCTCACCCTTCCCCCAGGCACCTTGCTGGCATAATGCCGCCACTGCTTGTGTCACCCTTACCCTCGCCTTGTCCGACTTGACAATCCCCACCAGTTCCTTGAGCGCCTCCATCGGATTCCCCTCTCCGCCAAACACAACTTCCCCTCCCATCTTCCCCGCCTCCAGTATCTCTACCGTCGCTCTAGCCGCCTCCACCCTTAATTCTGTCCTCACGTGCGACAAACCGGCGTTCAACGACGCCGCCATTAACCTTGCGAACGGCCTCACCTCCCTCATCTCCGCTACGCATCTCACACTCGTCTCCCTCCCGGCCTTCCTCACGCCGGCGGCCTCATCGCACAGCGCGTCCAACCCAGCCGCCAGCACGGTCCCCAATTGTGCGCGGGCCTGCTCGTGGGCGGCGGCTCGCTCGTCACACACGGCGCGCGCGAGCCCATTCAGAGCAGCTACGCGTGTGGCGGCGTTATAGTGGCGCGCGCGTTGGAGCAGCTCCACGAGCGTGAGGCCGGACTTGTCTGCCGCGGTTGCGGCGCGGCCCTGCGCGGGGACGTGCACTTGGCGCGACTTGAAGGAGGTCGAGGTTAGGTTAGCCGCCTTGGCACGCCCACCAAGGCGCTGCTTCTTCTTCGCAAAGTCCGGCTCGACGGCAGCGCCCCGCTGAGAGGATTTGCGCTTGGAACGAGGCATAATGGAGGCCGTCGGAAAAGCGTTTGATGATGTAGACGTTACGAGGGTTTCGGTAACGGGGGGGCGGAGCGCGTAGGAAGATATTAACGCAGATATATACGTTAGAGCCGTTTCGATCCGGCCAATCACGGGGGGGCAGCAGTAGTAAATAGCTTAATGATCCAATTGGTATGGTTGTGGAAGGAAACCTGGTTCGGCCCTGAGTGGAACGGCATCAGGACGGTAGGAAGGAATGGCAAGGAGAGGAACGTGATCAAGTTTCGACACAGCCTTTTGGCGATTTTTTAAAATCGCTGAAAATATTTTAAAAATATTCCTTCGCAGTAACCCTAGAATTGATCGCGGATCCGTCCTGCGGACCCGACGGCGACGCCTCACTTTCGCACCAATCCTACTGTCCCACCGACTGTTCCCATACAACTAAAGCTTCCTTCCCTACACCCACGACAGCTCTTAATACCCAACGTTAGAGTTTTCGTCGTTTCATTGCAACCACATCACCATGTCGAAGCGCGGTAGAGGTGGCGCCAGCGGCAGCAAGTTTCGCGTATCGCTCGGTCTCCCCGTCGCGGCCGTCATGAACTGCGCGGACAACACGGGCGCCAAGAACTTGTACATCATCTCCGTCACCAAGATCAAGGGCCGTCTGAATCGTCTCCCGGCTGCCGGTGTTGGCGACATGGTAAGTCTCTTACTCTCAGACAATCGCAAACCGCACATCTTCTCACCCTCCGAGAACGGATCCACCTAACAACCGCCCTTGCTTTTTTCACTAATGCAGGTTCTCGCCACCGTCAAAAAGGGAAAGCCGGAGCTCAGGAAAAAGGTCGCACCAGCTGTTGTCATTCGTCAGCGCAAATCTTGGCGTCGTAAGGATGGTACATTTTTGTACTTTGAAGGTAAGTCTCTCTTCTTCTTTGGCGAGGCCCTTGCACGCAAACAGCGGCGAGCTGTTTCGTGTTACTGGCGCATGGTGGTGATGCATAATATATCCTGAAGCGCAGAGTGTTCCGATGACGCACTTCATTTAAACATCTTTCGGGACTGAGCCAATACCGCCATCCAACCGCCTCGTTTCACACGATGACTATCTGTTCTCTCGCGTTTCTTATCTACGGTGGATTCTCTAACTGTGAAGTCCCTTTCCTGTAATCTGGTATTGCGCAGACAACGCGGGAGTAATCGTTAACATCAAGGGCGAAATGAAGGGTTCGGCTATCACTGGCCCGGTCGCAAAGGAATGCGCTGATCTCTGGCCTCGTATCGCATCCGCAGCTGGTACAATCGTCTGAGGTCTGGGTTGTCGTTTGTTAATTTCATGTTTCGGAGCAAGTGTATTAGTGATGCATTTATCCTGTTACCGCGTTGCTACTGCTGGGTTTTAGGCTTATTGTCTATGCGCAATGATGTCATTAAACGAAACATGTTTCTCACATTCGTACGTCTGATCTCAGACCACCTGAAAGCGACATTGCGAACAGTCGGATTGTCAACAGTGTGACCCTGAAACAAAACCAATTCCGCGTGTGAAACTAGCTCGAACGCGATCTTGGTTAAAAATCAGATTTGAAATTTACTTGCATTATATGATGTGCGGATGTCATCGCGCCATCGTCGAATATTGTTAGGTGTTAGCGCTACAGGTAGTCAGTTCGGTCGTCCATTAGTTGTTTGGTATGCTACATCCGTCCCATCCGCTGCGGCTAACTGCGAAACTTCCGCGCACACCTCAATCATGGTCTTGTCTCTGCGATTATATTTCTCCATGGCTCGGTCAAACCGCTCCGCGATTTCTCGCAGTAAGCTCATTTCAGCGGTCCACTCCTCGTCACTTGGCGGTGGGTCCCATGCAGCGTAGTTGCGTCGAGCGCGCCGCAAATGTTCATTCCCTCCAGGCGATACAAACCATTGCAGCTCCACAGCATCATTTCCAAGGCTCGAGCACAGAATCTGATACGCTTGCATAAACGAACCGAACTGGCTGAGTCTGACAGCCACCTTTTCGAACGTCGAGGTTGCTGTTCGGTGAGCCCAAGCAGTGACGGATCCGTCCCTGGGGTTGTATTCATGAGGAGTTTCAAGGAGCCATACTGTCACTTGCCGCGCGACCAGGTGACTGACCCGCGCCCTCAATTCGCCCAATTTGAGACCATCCTCGCTCTCCTTGCCAGCCTCATGGCCATTTTGGCCCCGCGACCTGCCATCTCCAGCCGGACCTCGGTTCACATTTGCAATAGCAGTGGGAGAATCGCTGTGAGCATTAACATTCTCAGTGCGAGAAATGTGGTCAGTGGGTCTCGGAATATTTCTAACCATGCGGTCATCAGGGCTTGCATAGATCGTATCTCCCCTGCCCAGAGCCTGTTGTGCAACCGGCGGAACACGGTTCACCGAGCGGCCTGCTGCTGAGGGTTGACGCGCGACAAAAGTATTGTGATGATCAGTGGAACCCAGACCATTACCACGATCGTAGGCACTAAAACTTGCAAAGGCTTCATGAATTCGTCTCGTAATGCTGTACTCTGCCTGCCTGGCCTGGTCCTCTATGGCAGTGAAAAGCTCCTCCCGCAAATCCTGTAGCATTCCTCGCATCTTAGTTCCCTCTTCTACGACACTGCGATGTACGACATCTTTGTAAAATTCAGCATCCTGCCTGAACTTCAAAGACATGCTAACCAATCCCTTGACATCTCGTGACACAGTTTCTAGTTGCTCAGTCACTGAGGACTTCAATATTCGGCCCAACTCCGCCATATCGTGACGCCCAGCACTAGAATCTGCTTGTACATCTTTGCCATGCCCTTGTGTTTTCGGTACGGAAGCGCGATCGCCGCTAATTTGAGTCCTTGCACGCTTGGTAGACTGTGAGACATGTCCATGCTCACCACGTTGACGCTTGTCTCTGGAAGGCATATTTCCTTCGATTCCACTCAAGGCTCCTACCGCAGGTGATTTTTCAGCCACTTTTGTCTGCAGACGGCTTTCAGGAAGTGCTGTGGCAGCTCGAGCATGCGACAGGACCTTTGAGGCCGCATGTCCGGGGTTGTGATTTGCTGCTTGAGTGCTATGATCGGCCTCGCGAGTAATAATTTCGGCTTTGGAATGCGTCAGGGCATTACCTTGGTCTGTATCAAGTGCCTTCCCTTTTAAGGCCAGTTTTGCTCTTACAGGCGCACCTGCATCGGTGCCAGTTTCAAGGGAGTGTGGCAACGACTTCCCTGTTTCCAATCGAGAAACCTCACGTCGGTCGGCATCCTTTGTTGCTGTGTGAGCAGTTTCTGGTTGAGGATGAAGTGCACCAACCTTTCCATTGGACTGATCCATTGAGGGAGGATGCACCGTGGAGACACGTTCCGGCCCATTGCTCTTCGACCCAGAGGAGGCCTTCTTTCGTTTCTTTCTCTTCTCACGATTAGTAGAGGTGGTTGGCCTCTCGCTCGAGGAGCGGGAGCGATACGAGTCTTCTTTCCTTGTCACTTTCATAATGCTCGTGCCTGTATCTACTATTGTAGAAGATGTATTCTTGGGAACTCCAGTGAGCAAAGTGGATTTAGCTTGAGGCGCTGTTTCTTCTCCGCTAGGTCTTTCAACAATCGAGTGAGATGATGTCACGGGTACACAATGAGCAGGTGACACAGTGCTGCTCTGAGAAGCTCTGCGATCCTCACCACCCCCTCCGGCGGATGGTGCGGTACCCAGGCCCTGTCTGCTCTTTGAACCTGTCTTTTCGTGAGCAACGGATTGGTCTTTCGGGGTGGTGGCGTCGGGCTTCAAATTGAAACGGTTACCCAGATCGGAGGGAAGGGAGGCGCCAGTCGCTTTTGGTATCTCCTTGTGAGAGGAAAGTGATGCCGCCATAGGGTTATCCTTTCCTTGCCCTTCTTCCTGGGCCGCTTTGTCAGATTGGTTTGACGAGTGCATATGTTCCTTTCGACTGCCCTTTTCAGGTACAACGATGCAAGGTTGAGCGGACACGTCGGCTGGTTGTGTTGGTTTGGAAATGGCTAGCAAACTTGCCGCTGCAGCGATTTTCGACGGATTTTCTTCCTTTTCAACACGTGTCACAACCTTACCAACATCGTCAGGTGCAGTTGACGCAAGCTGCTTCGCAGACATCGGGCGCCTTCCATTCGTCGCTTCGGAAGTATCCATCTCCTGAGACGGTGTCAGGGCTTGAGCCTTCACCTTTGCTCCGGGTGCAGCAATCTCTGGGGCGCCACTCGAAGTTTTTCGTTGCTTGGCCTTTGAAACAGAACCACTGCTTGCCTCCTTACGAACTCGCGCGAATTTCTGCCTGGCACGCGCTTTGGCAGAAGGGCTCTTACTCGAGCTGGAGGGCGTCGCCGAGATTGAAGGCTCTGTTTTTATGACAGGCGCCGTCCTGTCAGTATTCTTTGGCGTGGTCGTCTTCTTCTCGCGGTCTGATGTGGCATGGCGTTTGCGTGAGTCCGCTGTGGATTTTGGCGAGTTGGCCGGATCCGTAGAGAAAGGAGGACGCGCGGAAGCCGCATGGTCGCCCTTTCTATAGTCAGTCTGAGATAAGGTCTTCCCCAGAGCGGGATGTCGCGGAATACCTTGAACAACTGTGGAAGGAGCATGCTCCATTCCTGGGGCATCAGCAGAACCGTCTAAGACAACCTCGACAACACCAACGTCGCTAGAGGGACGAGTGGGAATCGTAGGTTGCGCGGACGTATCCACCGCAAACCTCCAATCCTCTTGGGTGAAATCGAGGTCCTCTGTCTCGCCGTCATCGTAAAGAATGCGGAAAGACTTTGCTTTCAATTGCTGGGTGATGGTGCCTCTATAGTATGTCTCGTCTGCCTCCCACCAGATTTCGACGCGATCGCTTATTTTCGGACCTGGTCTGGAGCCCGGTCTGTTGCTCTTCCGACGCGAAAGGGAGTTGTTCGGGTCCTTGCGAAGGCTTCGACTCGTCATGGCGAATGGCGCACGAGAGGGTTTTGGGGTGAATGCTTCTGCATGTGCCCGTGTGGAACGGACGGGGGTTGCGCGTTGACGAGAATACTGTCTCGGCGGAGCGCTCCCGAAACAATGGTTGCTGCTCTTTTGAATGTCGATGTCGGGTGAACCTTGAGCGGGTCACGCAAAGAAAGGATGAGGGAGGGAAGCTCGACAATGGCGTGCGAGTAACGTAGGGGAATGGGGGGCTGGGGGTATGGAAATGGGGGCGGAGAAGCAGGGTGCGGAGGTGGAAGGAAGGAAAGGGGTATTATGGCGAGGGTACGGGAAGTGAGTAAATCGCAAGGCGCGAGACCGGGCAGACCGGGAGTTGTAGCAAAAAGGAAAACGGGGAAGCGAATGGGTAAAAAGTTGAGTGTTGGTTGGAATTAAAGGTTTGAGAGAATTCGAACGACAGGGGAGGCGGGGTGCCTGCGCACTATAGCCATGCACACCCCACCGACGCTCATAGACCAATGCGTGGACCTGGCGCTCGAATCGGACCAATGTTCAGGCCCCGCAGAACCGCAGCGGCGGTCCGAGCGACATCTGGCAGAATTCAGCGGACCGTTGGGCGCAGCAGACACTACTAGCTAACGCCTTTGAAAAATTAATGAAATATAATAATTATTCTTGGGCAACTCTCGTGCATCCCAGATTCAACCCAGAGGAACAACCGACAAGAGTGCAAAGCTACATATGTACAGTATGTACCGTACTACTGTAGATACTGTATCATGATGGAATTACAGTTCAAGCCCTGCCCACCAGCTCCAACCGGCCCTTCCCGTGCTGCCTTATCCTCCGGCTCGCACTGGCTCGTCCAATCTTTCTCCCAAATCCTCACGTATCCACTCCGAATGCAATATGCAAGTCCTCTTAAGGGTTGCCAGCAACCACTCCTGCCTCTCCTTGATACTACGTCATACTCCCCCCGATGCTTTCAAGCATGGATAAAGCCCTAGAGCCGATCTTTTGCCTCAAATTGCGACTACCAGTACAGCCTAGAAGCGAGTTTCATTCCTAGTGTCCCTTCTTTTTCGCATCCAGTCGTACCCGAAAGGAGACACTCTCTTTGTTTTCCTTCCTTCTCATTTAGTCTTTCAATTCAACAATTCCGTGCACTTAACCTTTCGTTTCTCCACGACCAGGCAGTCTCTACCCTACTTTTCGTGTCCACAACGGACACCGACAGTAAGAATTGATCTTAGACCTCCAAACCCCGTCTCCCCTGCTTTCCCCGTTTTCCATATATCTATCGCTTGTGCTTTTGTCTCCTTATAGCTTTCCGTTCTCCATAGTCAAGGGAGGTATGATAGAGATCACTGGCGACAGGCTTTGGGCTATGGAGGTACCCTTCTCGGGGGCTAAATTTGGGACACAATTTATGGGACCTCCCATAAATCGACAACAGTTCTCTTAAAGAGCCCTCGAATGTATGCCGGGCAAGTGTCCTTGAGTCCCCAATACAAGTAAACTGGAACACCGCCCATTGGTGGGTTGTCAATCAAGACGTTTAAAATTCTTCGTTCTGCTCCCAGAGTGTTGAAATTTTCGAAAAGGGCTTTATTTGAGACAGTAGCCACTACCTTCCACAAAAGGGAAATTTCGGACAGATATCAAAAAATTAATTATAAAACAGTAATATCATCGGAATGAACAAATCTAAAGCAACCATGCGATTCAGAGTTGTATTTGCAGTCGATTTATATCAAAATTTAACAACATTACACATTCTGCCCGGTAACATTCTGATCTTGTACTTCCTTCGAAGGTACCCCGTGCAAACAAAATAATTTCTCAAAACTGGGTTAATTTCGGATAGACGTTCCCGAAAACGCCGGAGAAGATGCAGTCAAAATCAACTCGTTAACGATCATTGCAGCCACTTTCACAGCTGTCGAAGATTGGTGGCGCCTCTTCCGAGCACTGCCCTCACGTCTTCCTCCTCCAAGTACACTTGCAGATGCCTGCCGACCTGCCGCTGAGACGTACTCCATCACTTGCTTTTTAGCCTCTTCTCTTGCTCTTTTCTTCTGTTCCTTTCGCTCTTTAGTGGCTGCTCGCTCCATGGCCTTACTTTAGCACGAAGCGCTGCTTGCGTAACTTTTTGGTGCTTTGCTTCTGCCTTCTTGGCAAACCGCTCGGCCCTTTCGCGATCTTCTACAGCGGTCGCTTCTGTACGCTCGGCTTCATTTTTCAAGCGCTCTACAGCACGCCTTGCCAGCCTTCCTCTCTCCTCTTCTGCCCTCTTGAGTCTCTCGTCCTGCTTTTTCAGCTGCTCTTGCTCCTTCTCGAGCCTTTTCTGCCGGTCTTCAGACTCTTTTTGTCGTCGCCGCTCCGCCACATCCCCCATCGTAACCCACTCGCTCGGAGAACCACAATCTAAGGTTACTCTGGTTCCTTTGCCTTGTTGTGATTGTTTGCAGCTCATAGCAGTGGAAGATGACCTTGCACTAGCACAATCCATAAGAATTGCGTTAACGGTTTCTGCGTTTTTCAACAGAATCGTTAATTTTTGTAATGCTTCTGAAGGACCAATTGATTTTTTCCAGAATCTTCCCAACCTCCGAAAGCGTTTCCTTATCGCTGCTCCTTTTTCGAACTGATGCTATACTCGAGGCGGGACCGCAGGACTCTATGCGAAAAGACTCCTTGGATGCCTTCACAGGTGCCATAGTAACATTACTGTTAAAGCGAAGTGGGAAGCCGCAGTCGAATGGATAAATGCCAGTTACCTTAAAAGACTGTACAATGTCGTCAACTGTAATACTTTCAAATGCATGCACACCGCAAGCAAGATTAACGGAAACGTGTCTCGTATCGACGAGGGAGTTCTTGCACAGCTCATCACGGAGCTCGCGAACGGCAAACTTAAACCCCTTATTAACCTTTTGATCACACGGTTGTAGAAAGTGTGAAGTATTAGCAGGGCTAACGACGACCTCTTAATTGTTCTTCTGGCACATATCTATCCAATCAGTCCCATTTCGGGAGCTGTGGCCATCCAAACAAAGAACATAGTGGAGACTGAGAGGAGCAACTGCTCGCACAGAAATGTCAATATGTTTCATTAATGCAGACATCACAGCCATCTCCATGGAACCGTTCTCAGTCATTTTAATGACACCCTCAGGCGGAAACCAGCACTGTTCAAAATATTTTGCAGAGATCCCTGAGACTTCAGCAACTTCCTTCTGTACTCCCCGGTTAACTAAAGCATCAGTCCAGTTGCTCATCAGTCGTTTCCCAGAAACAATAAAAAATGGAGGGGTCTTCCTGCCTGAAGCTGAAACTGCAACAACTGAAGTTACATGCTTATTAGCACCGTAAACAGAGGATGCTGCACGAAATCCTCCGTGATGGCCAGTTGAAGAACTAAACACTTTTTTCATCGCCCCTGTAGATGCATCCACAGCTGTTTCGTCAACGTTCCATATTCGGTGTGGGTCCTTCAACAAGCCGGGGTGGAGCTTTTCGACGTGCTGAAGAGCTGTAAAAAATGACTGAACATGTTCACGGCTCTCCGCTTTCAGTTTGGCAATCTCTTTGTTTTCCATTTTACGATATGTGATCTCTCGATGATGTGACCGAAAGGCACGAACGGTGTCGTCGCTAGTTATTCCATTCTTCCATCCATCCCTACCATCCGACGCAATGCGAGACATAATCTGCTTTATACCGTGGTGGTCGATTGCAAAGCCACGATTTGCGGCAAAGCAAATTCGTTGAATAATCATTTGTTCTTCTTCTGAACTGAGAACAGTCTTCCGCCCGGGTCCTTTTGTAGCCAGCATCTTTCCAATTCTCTGTGTATCGCCCAGTCGCAAAAGCTCTTTGAGCTCCCCTACGACTGTTTTGGGGACTTGTGTTGCCCGTCGAAATTTTGCGCAATGAAAGAGCCGTATTTTGGAGCATTTCTAATGCTGCTTCAATCCTCCCTCTTCTGCGTACATCCAGTGTGTGCTCTCTGGTCTTGTAAATCTTGCACTGCTTGCGCATAGAAGGAGCCATGATGAAGCAATGGTAAAAGGATGAGTAGCGTGGTGCACGACGTACATTTTGATGGGGTGATATGGTCACTACAGAAGGCGGATTGAGTAGTGTTTCCCTTTTTCGCGCGAATTGAAGCTTGTGACGCTTGCCTAATGGCCATTGGACTACCTTGGGTAGTGGTTTTGTTGGTACGAATGGATCTAGAATAATTTACTGTGCTATGGTTGTCTTTAATTGGTACGCTACACACTACTTTAAGGCTAGTGCTTTTTGTCCGGAAATACCCCGATGTCCAAAATTTCCCTTTTCTGAAGGGTAGGCCTTTCATGCAAATACCTCTCGCACAGGAAATTAGTTTGATACTTACAGTAGAAGTACTGTGAAAATGCTGATTAAGTACATCAGTATTTTCAAAATATTTGCTAGAATACATGACATTTTCAGTTCCCTGTGGTCTACATTCGTTACACTTCCGCATATCCAGAGCTGTAAGTATTTACGCAAATCATCGGTCCAGTTCAAAAAAGAGCGGTCTTTTACAATAGCCCTGTGCGGCTGAAGTGAACAAATTTGTTCTGCTCAGGGAAGTGAACTTTATTTATTTTTCAGGAGAATCTACATTCTCCTGACAGTCGCAGGAGAACATTTTGAGAGAACGTTCTCCCCACAAGTGGAGAAGTTCTCCTGCAGGAAGAGAATCTCCCCACAGCGATCGCTCTTCCTCCCTCGTATATCCTTCCACATCGCGATCTAGCGCCCGTTATGTCGCAGCCCCGTCCGCGGAGAGTCATATCTGTCACGGCAGACGACAGTCTTGACGCTCTCGCGTTCCAAACCCCCCTTCAACCACATGGTTCCCCGCAACGCTCTCCTCAACGATCAGAATGCAACAGTGATTCATTCGTGCCATTGGCGCAACCGTGCCAGTCTGAGCCAGCATTTGAACTTCCTGCCTCGAAACCGCCATCACGCCATGACACAGT